CACCACACTGACTGCCCTTAGTAGGACAATGCCTAATGAGTAGTATCTCCCAATTAATGGTTTCATTATCTGGCTGTGTCATGGTAAACAAGTCATTCCTGGTTAGAAACCAAATGCAAAACGTAAGCATTAGGGCAATTGCTGCTATTAGCTATTACTGTCTAATTAGTCATCTACAATGTACAGCACAGTACCAGGCAAACTACTTGTAATGATCTCTTGGAAAGGAAAACAGAAATACTCTATTATTTCCAAAAGTGTGACCTGAATGCAGTAATATACTGCACAACCTCACTCCAAACGTGAGTCAGGCTGTATTTATTTCTTGTCTTGTGCATCTGAGCTAACTACCTTGAGGCAGCGGTATAAAAATCGGTTGCTATGGCTCGCTTCTTGAAAATTTATTTTGCTCCTTCTTAAAATCTTGGCCTGCTTGACCTCAGCAGCCTTCACCAGTTTGAAAATGCAAGTTATAATCCTCTGTAGGGATTTAGCCAGGTGTCTATTACAGCATGTAATCTGTGATACAGCTTCCAATATTCATGTTGCAGAAAGGTTAAGCCCCCCTGTCTTCTTCCTGACTAAAAAAGTCCATGAGGTGTTAGTGTGGACAGGAAGCAGATTGAAAGAAGCAACATCTTCAATCAAGCCCTAAGCCTGTGTGGATGCCACTGAGGAGCCGTGGACGGGCAGCTTCGCCTGAGCAGCAGCACTCAGACTTTAACCCTCAAACAGCAGCTGCAGCACCACTGCCGGCTCCCCTGCTGACGTTCAAAGGTCATACTACTGCTAGACCTCTGTTTTTAACCAAAATCCTCACTCTAGGGTCACCGTCCCATCGGTCACCGAGTTGTTCCTGAAGATGCACTTGGTAAGACACGCTTCTACCCAGCAGGAGCAAGGCCAGCCCCAGCGCCCCGTCCCAGGCAGGGACACTTGCAGAGCACCTCAGACACCACTATACACGTTCAAGCTGGCTGGCACAAACAGACATCACTCTGTGCTAAAACAAACTAAATCCAGCTAATTGAGGGGAAACCCTACTGGGACCAGTCAGTCCTAGTCAGCAGCTTCTCAGGTAACTCTGCTTTTTCCAGCCGGGGCTGGGCGTGATCAGACTGTGTGATACAGCCATGTGCCCTCACCGTGCCTCCCGTACCTGCCCCGGGTACCTCTTCCTAAAGCCAAAACTTTTAGACTATGTCAGTAGTTTTGGTAATATTTTGAATTCCATGAGCAGCCTAAAACAAAATAAATAGCAACTTAATTTGCCTGCCTGCAAGGAGCTATTTAATATCAATCTCCAATTACTGTACAGGAAAATAGTGGGTTTCTTTCAGATGGTCGTGGTGTTGGGAAAGCCTCAGCTACCTTTTACGCTAATTGGCAGTAAAGTGTTTAGAAGAATTTAGTAGTGTTTAATTATTTAGAAATCCCCTAATAAATATCGTTTTGAAAAGTTGTAAATATTTTCCAGCTTGTCCGGCTGAAGAGCTGCTGCTTGGAAGGCTTAAATGAAGATCTATTTACAGCTGCCTGCTGGTCATAAAATTACTTACAGCTGCTAATGCTCCAGTCTTTTAGATGTCCCCAACACAGAATGGGCTTAGTTTTCACAGATTGGGGAAAGTTTCTCTATGTTGTATTCATTTTACTGAGACAGAGGTCTTCAAGACGATTATCACAGACATCAAGACATTAAAATATGTAATTAATCCCACTTAAATTAATTAGTTTTCATACTAACGTACTAAGGGACGTTCGTGTAGGATAAGACCCCTTTAACATTGTTTTGGTAATGTAAATATGACTTAACATGCCAATTACATTTAAGATGAATTAGAAGCGGTTTAAAGCCAAGTTGCTGGTAGAAAAAATGGGAATCTGACTCCAAGCCTCTGAAGCAATAATCATGTTAAATTACAGCAGTGACTGCCATGTCAGTAGGTAGAGGGGAACTTACCTAAACTTACTATTTCTCTCCCCCTCTCTGTGTTAGAATTCAGGACATTTATTTTGTCAGCTTATACTGGCTTAGATTTTTTTTTCTCCTAATTTCGTCTCTAGAATACTGAACTCCATACAGATAATTTTGGTGTCATCAAATCATTTGCCTCTTAATAGAGAATTGCATGTTATAAAATTTAAAAAATAATTCAGTTTATTGGGAAGGATGTGCCTGAAGTTTTTTGTTAGGATTCTCATTTGCAGTGATGTCCTTACCCCAGGGTTTCAGTGGCGGGTTGTGCCACTGATGTGACCGCTGGTAAGAGTTTCAGGAGCAGGACAGCACTGTGATTCTGACCCATTTCTCACTATACTCTGCCATTAATTGGAATAGCCTCATCTTTCCCAGAAAGCTTTGTGCCTGCAGAGATGTAGACTACCATTCAGTAGCAAGCCAGGGCTGATTTTTAGCATTCACTGCACCGTTCTTTTAGGTACCTTATTGCCACCAGCTCTCATGATCTCACTGCGTTCACACTAGTTTGTGTTTTGTTCGAGCCCTGGCTCCCAGCGTTCTCAGATTATATTGGCACCTCAGCTTTTGCTAAAAAGGAAAAGGTGAAAGAAAAAGGGAGCAAAAGAAATCGACTCTTACATACAGAAAGAACCAATACGTCCCACACAGTCTGGGTTACCCACTGGAAGTCATAAAACATGCCTCCTCCAGCATCCAGGGGCTAGCGGATCAGAGCGGCTTTAGTTTTTACATGAGGAATCACAACATACTCAGTGGTTGCTTGTGGAGCAGGAAACCAAAGCCATCCCTCAGCAGTGCTTAATGCCCCTGTCTGGCTACCCAGGAGCATTTATTTGCTGCGTTTCCATACCCATGGCCTCCCAGTGAAGTTGCTTTTACCAAAGCGGTGACAGAAGCATATACATTATAGGTACGCAGGCAGCTTCGTGGTGACAGGCACAGAAGTGACCAGATTTTTCTAGGAAACCTCAGAAAGGTGTGATTTACGCAACTCTAAGCATTTTCTGCAAAATTGGTATTTACATATTGTCAAAGGGTCCAGAACCTTACAGATTTCATAATATGTATATTTTCCCTAAGGAAAAGAAAAGACCTAAGTAAGCTAGCAAATCCTGGCATTTCTGTCTGATATATTAAATGGAGCTTAAATAATAAAAAATTCGGTGTTTTCTCTATTCTGCTTGAAACTTATTTTTGATTTTCACTGTTTTATTCAAAAGGAAGGCATAGAAATAGCAACCGTGAGCTTGAAATCAGAGCTGTAACAGGGGCTTATTATAGACACGTTTTACAGAGTATTTTCAGTTACAGCTGCATGCTTTGAAGCTGTCAGTGTAACAAGCAGTGTGCTGCTTTTCAAATAACCCTTTTTGTTGTCTTCTAGTTTTTTTCCTAACTTCGAGTCCTAGCGAATCTTTGTCAGTTTTAGCATGGGAAAGAGAGAGAGAAAGAAAATAGTGTTTCCCTGCCCAGGTAAGAGGAAGTTGCCGGTGGGGAGGGCAAAGTGAGGCAGAAGTCCTTTTGCTTGTATTTTGTGGGAGTATGTCAAGGAGCAGAGCAGTGGCCAAGGTGGAAACTCATGTTTGAAACCCATTTCCCACACTGGATGGCATTGGATCGCTTCATTGCCCCGAGGCTTTGAGATGGAGAGAAGCATAACTGTAATTATAAGGAAGGAAAAGGTTGATTACCATACCAGGACTTGTTCTGTTTTCAGGGTAGGTGAGGGGAACTCTGATTAATGACAATAACAGCTACACTTTCGCCCCTATCGAGCACTGCTAGGTATAGGCATGTGCGTCTTTTTGCCCAGCAGTGCTGACCATCAGTGAAGAGAGGTATGGCTTCTTCCACAATCCGTGTGTAAGGTGGAGGGAAGGATACAGAGCAGTGGTTGCTCTCTGGAACAAATGCAGAATGAACAAGTAGCAAAATATTAATGTACTGTTAAAAGCCGAAATTAGATAGACGTGATTCAGTGCAGCCTACGGGGTCTGATATCTTGGCAACTGCTGCAAGATATCCCCAATCTGCAAACAAAATAGCCTTTGTGAAGAAGCAGAAGATTGTAGTGTGCAAGTTAATGCATCAAAAGGGCGGGAAGAGAATAATTCACTTTCACCTTGCTACAGAGGACAAGCAGCAGTAAAAGCTGTGCACTACTGGCAAGCTTTTTTTGTTGCTGTTTCTAACGCAACCCCCAGTTCAGAGCTCTAGCCACCTTGGCAGCATTCCAGCTGGAGCTGCTGACATCTCCCACCTCATCAAGTGCTGGATTATCTTGTCCTGATAAATTGGAGCTGGTGCCTCATGAAAAGTCTTTCCTCAAGTACTTCGCTACCCTGTAATAAGATGGCAGATGTCTGAATCAAGCCCCAGAGCTGGCAGAGCACTGTTTTTCTAATGGGTTTTGATGGCGAGTGTAAATGTTTTAAGGCAAGCCGGTGCTAAGCTGGGAACACAGTTAAGCATGATAAATTTCATGCCCGGGTGAAAGGAAACTTGAAGGTGTACTGGGTGCTGGTTCATACCAAGTACGTATGGGCTGCACTGCTGCCCTGAAAACACTTGCCCTAAAAATTACCTCTTTTGTGAATGGAGCTCTTGAGGAACGTACTTTTTTTAAAAGGAAATTCTCTGACTGCTGCATCTTTCTAGGAAGAGTTGGAGTTACTGAGCTATTAGAGAATTGCTTACTGTTCTTGGTATTTTGTGACTCAATCACTGGTCTGAGTCGTTCAGGGTAAATAAAGTCTTTCTCTAAAACATACTAAGAAAAACGTTACAGAAGCAAGGCTGCTGTATATGTGTGTGTTTGTACATTTACTTCAACAGGTAAAATAGCCAGGATAAATCTCGTTAAGATGAAGGTATTCCTTGCAAGCATTTGTGTTTTCTTTCTTGGTGTCACTCCTGGAGAAAAAGCAGCAGTTCTCATGTGCCAGACAAGAAACATCTTTATGTGTCACAGTCACCTATACCGTGCCTCTTGTAATGCTGCTTTGCTCTTTTCCAGGGGAATCCCTACATGTGCAATAATGAATGTGATGCAAGTACCCAAGAACTGGCTCATCCTCCAGAACTGATGTTCGATCTTGAAGGAAGACATCCCTCCACATTTTGGCAGTCCACGACTTGGAAGGATTATCCAAAGCCTCTTCATGTTAATATTACGCTCTCCTGGAACAAAACCATTGAGCTGACAGATAACATAGTTATCACTTTTGAATCTGGCCGTCCAGACCAAATGATCCTGGAGAAATCGCTCGACTATGGACGAACATGGCAGCCCTACCAATACTATGCCTCAGACTGCTTAGATGCTTTCCACATGGATCCAAAATCAGTGAGGGATTTATCGCAGCACACAGTCCTAGAAATCATTTGCACAGAGGAATACTCTACTGGGTACATGACAAATAGTAAAATAATCCACTTTGAAATCAAAGATAGATTTGCTTTTTTTGCTGGACCTCGGCTTCATAACATGGCTTCTCTTTATGGCCAGCTTGACACAACCAAGAAGTTAAGAGATTTCTTTACCATCACGGATCTGAGGATAAGACTGCTTAGGCCAGCAACTGGAGAAATATATGCAGCTGAGCAACACCTGGCACGCTACTTTTATGCAATTTCAGACATAAGGGTATATGGAAGGTAAGCGAATATATACCTTTAGAAATAGGCATGTATGTTTGGTTTTAGAGGTTAATGAAAACCATTTATGTCCCCAAACATGACGACATTTTCTGCCAAGACATGTTCATTGGAAATCTGGCTCAGTTGAAGTCTGTTTCTGGTCATACTAGAAGTTTCTGACCCAGCAGCACAAAGTCCTGGGTGTTCCCTGTCACCAACCTGGGATCTTAAGCCCTAGGTCTCACCAGCAGGATAATATTAATGGTTTCTTACGTTGGCTCAGGAATTTGCCCTGGCATTAGGACATTTTCTGCTTTTTTACAGTTGGAGCCTCATCTGATGGCAGTTAACTAAAAAGAGAGATTCTGTATTATCATTTGACTTTTTCAGGCCTTTAATGTAAGCTGTGATTGATACAGCAGCCCTTGCACGGACCCTTCCCACTAGGTCCAGCTATGAACTGCCTGTCGACAAGGAAGGCGGCAGAGATTAGAGTCCGTTCCTTGTACTTTAATTAGCTCTGAAATGCAGTGAAGCTGAAGTAAAATGGAAAAAAACAACAGTGTTTTGCAGAGACTGATTTGAATGTAACAAAGATGATTACTCAGCTGGGTTCAAGACAAATAGTCCCTCTGGGGCAAGCAATGGCTGGTATCAGGTGCCGTAGTCCCAAAAATAGTAACTGTGCAATGACATTCCTATTGGGAAATTTTCTTCCCAACTCAAACTAGCAATTGACTGATGACCTAAAGCAGGAGGGTGATACCCTTTATATGTGTCTTGGATGCCAGTTTGTTCAGAAGAAATAAATGGGACCTCCTCTGTTAGCAATTCACTCACCTCTCTAATGTACCTTTTCTTTCTCCTCCATTTCTTCTACAGAGAGTTCAAATCTTCCTTTTTAAAAACCTTTTTTTTTTTTTTTTTTAAGAGAAGCTAAGTATCAAAACGAACAGAAAAGCTAATGTATCTTGGAAGGCCAGGGCATTTTTTGCAGACACAGACTGAGTGAAAAAAAATAGAGACAGTGATTATGTAAAACACTGGTGACTGTATTTTTATTACTCCTGTAGTGAGTTTGCCATTTTCTACCTCTTTTATACAAGGCTTTCATTTCCATATTGCAAAAATCGATACATAAAATCAAAATAGAATCAAATTACTGTGACATAATCTATTGAAAAATAATCCTCTAACTTTATATAAAGGAAGAGTTGATGCCACATACAGATTTGAATGCATAAGCACTTGTGCAGTGCTGATATATTTTTATATGACATCAAAATACACTTTTTAGGACCACAGATTTAGCATGTAGTTACAATCTTCTGTGTCCACACCAAATACATACGCATACATACAGAATCACTGATTGAACGTGTGAAAGTATAAGATAAATGTTGCTGGTTTAAGAATTCTTATTGTACCTCTCATTAGTTACATTGTAAATTATTTTTCAGAAGTCTCGTGAGAGGGCTAAGTGGTTCATGGACAGCTTAAGATACTGTTTGAAATAGTTTAGTAACATTAGCTCAGTATAGAAAAAATAACACATATGTTCTATTTAATGTGTATCCTTTCTCCATTGGGCCCCACATAGGTTAGCTCCACAGAGGTACTATGCCAAAGCTCAGGATTTGAAGATCCTTACGCTTTAAAGAAAAGCTGCTCCCCATCTGAAAACCCCTTTGGAGCTTAGTCTGACTTCAATTAGACTACCAGTACTTTATCAAAGAAAGCATCTGAAGGATTAAAAAAGAGTGCATTGCATGCAAATTAGAAACAATACCTTCTGAGCACATCTGGGGCCTGGCAATCTTGTGAAAAATTATCTATAAAAATGAAGCGTGACTGTAGAGAGAACTTATCTGATGCTGATGCTTGTTGTCTAAATGCTGCAGTAATTGGACACATGCTTTAAAAGAAATATCTGATGTGTAATAGTATCTCACTAGATTAGATTAATGTGAATTCTTATCACTCTTCTGCTAATGAGAAGAACAGCTCTCTAGGGATTTGGTGGCCTTTCCTTCAATATGTAGTGAGCACTCCTTGTTAAAGAATTTATGGGCTTGCTTACTGCTAAGTAGCTGTGGGGCTGCAGTACGCAGCCCCTGATTATTTAGTCGCACCAAAGGTAACTTGCAATAGGCCCACTGTCACCCGGTTTCAGGTATTTTTGGTCTCCTACCAGAAACCTTATAGGGCCCCCCAAAGAGTCTCCAAATCAGCATTACGGTCACGTGCCCTGGCATGCCCTGAGCATGGGAACGCGATGGAGGGGAGCAAGGGTTACCAGGGGGTTTGTGCCGCTGTTTCTGATTGAGCTGAGCTTTCCAGCCGTTGCAGTTAATTTAGGATGTTAACTGGAAATTAAGTTACGATTTTTATTTTTTTTTTTGCTACAATGTTTCATATTCTGCGCTTTCAGACCTAGATGTTTATATACATTTTAGTAAAGCCAGACTAGACTATTCCACGAGGACAGGATACAAAGGGACCTTACCGAGGAGCTTGACATGTGGTGGATGAGGGATGCTAGCAGACACGTTTGAAAGCTAGTCCTTTTACTGAAAAAAGTAGCCTGTAGGTTAAATATAGTTAAAATCACCAAAGCTCATAATAGCGTATTACTAAAGGTAGCATAAAATGTAATTTGTTTCACACTGTATTTTAAGGATCAATGACAGTGAAAAGCATCTATCTTAAAGCTGCCATATTTAATATACAAGATGCTGGAGTGGTTAATACTCCACAACGAATTATAGATAGGAGATTTGCCCACTTGATAAAGGGTTTGTTTTGTCATGGCTTTGCATTTTGGTGTGAAATAAGCCTGATGTATGTTGCATTAGAGATGAAAGCCTGTGTACTCTCGATGAATGCCTTACCTCCTCTATTACCACCTGTTTATTCATCTTCAGTTTACCACTTCCATTGTGTATTTATTATGATGAAAAAAAGGAAACGTGGCTGTTAGATGCTATTTCAGCAACCCCATTGTGCTCACATTATTCAAGAAACCTAATAATCTACATGAACTAATTCTGACTCACTGATGGTCTGCTTCACTAAATCAGGGTGATTTTTTCTAGTGAATAATGGACGATGTAGTGTGCTAGTACCTTAATTAAAGAGAGCCTCTCTTAGTCTTGATCTCATTTTAATTTACAGGGTAATACTACAATAATATCACTAATGGAAGGTACATTAAAGGGCATCAAGTAGCATTAACTGTATTAAATTATGGCACTTGTGTTAATTAACTGCTGAAGCAAGATGGTCCTAACGGCTAGAAAGGTCGACTAATGCATAAATAAAGTCTTCTGGGATGGGAAACTAAGAGCAGACATTTTTCCCCTCGTCTGGCCTTGCTGCAGAGAATCAGAGGGTGTGCTGTGTGGTAACCTCGGGAAGGTTTCTCTCACTTTGCTGCCTGCAGAGGTGGCCTGGGCTGTCTGCGAGCTCTGCCTATCTTCGATCCTGGCAGTAAGCTGTGAGGCACAGCTCCCTTTTTTAACATTTTTTTTGTAGGAGAAGTTCACTAAAATGCTGATAATAATTCCTTTGAAGTCAAGCAAAAGGTTCCTAGCAGATTTTGGATCAGGCTGCTAAAGGTTTAACTGCGTTCATTCCAAGGTATTTTTGCTTTAACTGTTATATTGTCAGTGACGTGTACATTTATGCACTGTAAATTAACTGTAATTCGGGATGCTAGTAAAAAAACATTTCCCCAGTGGGTGACAGAATGACTAGCTGGCTAAAACAAAGGATCTTACTGCTTTTGGATGATTAGGTCTTGATCTAAGAGCCACCAGTTTCCTTCTGACACCAGAATATCCAGCCTCTGTACAATGTTATTAAGCCCTTTGGAATTTATTTTTATACTCTTCTCGCCTTGAAGCTTCTGTATTTAAGCCCCAGGGTTTTCTGACCCTGTCTCAGCTATGGTTGCAGTTCTAACAGCAATAGAAACCTCTAACTCGCAGTACACAAGTGAAAAGTATCCTCAGTTTTAACAGGTTTTGCTCTCACATTACCTCTTCTAAATTTAAATCCATCTCAGAATCCGAATAAATTGCTCTGAAGGAAAGCATGTTTGCTACTTAGGGGGTTGGGGCTATTTTGTCTTTTTAGTCAGGCTGCCCCCCTGCCAGCTGTGACCCCGAACCGCTCAGTATCGCTGTGGTGGATTTGGGGTGGGTGGGTGCCCTTCCTCTTAAAAAGAGCTGATCTGCCCCCCTGAGCCGGGAGTTTGTCCTGCAGCCTTCCGTGGGTGGACACACCGTGAAGGCTGGGTTGTACCAGGTTTCATCCTCTGGCTTATTCTACAGATCCATTCTACGGATGGATTAATTGGATTAATCTGTATGTTACTCTGGCATGCACTTGACAACGCTGTAATAATATCCCTCTGTAATTTACCCAAAAGCAGAACTTTGCCCTAGGGAAGTGGTAATATACAGAAGTGCTTTAGTTTTATTTATAATAGAAAATGTTTTCATTAATGTTCAGCTCAGAACCAGACCATCAATATGAAGATATGTAGGCTTCAAGCTTTTAAGGAGACAACTGAATACCATCCTTGTTTCTAGTATTTATTTATCGTATTTGAATACTCTTTGTTTTATGAGAACACTGGCATAAGCAGCTTGTTCTCCTTTGAGATTTTCACTAGTATTCAGAGTGAATCTAGCAGTTTCACCAATTAAATTATGAACTCATTAGAGAATAGGAAAGTAAAAGAAATGTATGTATTTAAGAGCATGTCAATTTATCTTTAACTCCCAAGAGCAATTAGCTTTTTTAATATATCTACTGTAATATGTCACTAAGGAAAATAGTCCTTCATTTTCTGTAAACAAATCTAGGATCATCAGGAACTGAAATAATTAAGTGGTCACTCTGTTTATTCACACATGAGCAGTCTCCAATGGTTTACTCAGTACAGGTGTCTTGGGTGGGTTTTACTCCTGCCCATGTTCAAATAATACTGGTCTCCACCCTCCATCCTGGTG